CACACACACACACACTTTTTAAACTGTCAAAGCTGACCTGATCATTTGCACCCAATGTTATATAAAACAACACTGTGGTTTTAGAGAAGCTTTCATGTGTTCAAGTGGCTCCACCGACCTCTGGTGGGTAAATAATCATTAACCTCAAAAATGCAGTTTCACCACATTAAGACGACCCTGAATTGACACCCTGAGAGCGACTCCTATGTTCCTGAATGCTTTTCCTCCTCTCCAGATTGCCTCTTCAAGGTGTGTCCCATGAACAGATACTCAGCCCAGAAGCAGTTCTGGAAGGCAAAACAAGGAAAACAAGGAAACAACAACACACAGGGAGACCTGTTTAAGAAGTTACAGGTATAATTGTTTTCTTTAATCACAATCTGCATATACATCTTATTTTTCTTTATTCCCAAAGCTTATATGAATCTCTGTTTCACCACTCAGCATGCAGCAGAACTGGAGCAGAAGCAGAACGAGTCGGAGAACAAGAAGCTCCTTGGAGACATTGTCAAATACAGTAATGTCATCCAGGTACAGCCCATCTCTTCAGCAAACACCTGCGGCACCAGATTGTCTTGAGTCCAGAGCCTGTTTTTGTTTTCCTGTTTACCAAGGTTGTGTTACTGTCATTCAATCCCTGATACCTCTGGAAATTTTGTCAAAGCCAGTGATAGTATTTGGTTTCACTGATGGATAAACTCTTGTTTTAGGGAACTGAATGAGAAAATCATCTACATATTTAACTGCTGTTGCAAACGCCTTCAGAGCATTGCTTCAGTAAACAGGCGTTATCAATGAGCTACTTGTTAGGGTTGACCTGGTATACACTAGTATAATTTAGTCCTTGTTTGTTAAATGAATCAGGAAATGGGTTGTGCGGTATTACACACACTTCTTTTAATGAGGTCAAATTGAATACAATTTTAAACCACCTCTTTAAAATCGAGCCAGAAGTCTGTTATTATTCTTGTAAAGTGGTGGAAGTACATTAACTTAAGCACTGTACTAAGTACTGTAAGTGCTCAGTATTTTGAGTGTGCCATTTTCTACTAAATATTGTACTTTTCCACTACAAGTACTTAACATAAAACATATGAAGAGCTTAAAAAACATGTTGCTTTGTTATAGATTAAACTACCCAACAGTAACAGTAACAAGTACAGCTGAAAGGATTAGTCGGTTAATTGATTAGTCGATTGATAGAAAATGAATGGGCAACTATTTTGATCATTGTTTAAGTAATTGTACATGCAGAAAAAGTATTTTAAATTTATTTTTAAGAGTTTTTGACTATTGGTTGGACAAAACAGACATTATGAAGTTGTCACTTTGGGCTCTTGGCTATTGTTATAGGAATTTTATGAACTTTTACAAACTAAACAAGCAAGCGAGAAAATAATCAGGAGATTAATCCATCATAATAAAAATAATCATTAGTTGCAGTGCTGTATAAAATAGTTCAAATGAGCTCCACCTCAACCAACTACAGCAGTAAAATCCTTCTTTTACAGTAATACAGAGTAATTTTTTAAACTCTTAATGAAGTATTTTTACAGTGTGGTATTAATACTTTTAATTAAGGATCTTCCTCCACCACTGGCCGTATAGCATCTAAACACTCTGATCCTTCTGTCTCAGCTCCTGCACATTAAGAGCAATAAATACCTGACGGTGAACAAGCGTTTGCCTGCTCTGCTTGAGAAGAATGCCATGCGAGTTTCTTTGGACCCAGCCGGGAATGAGGGCTCCTGGTTCTACATTCAGCCCTTCTGGAAGCTCCGCAGCGAAGGAGATAATGTAGGTTTCTCTATCTACAGGAAGTGCTGTACAACAAATTGACATTCGTCTCTGTTATAAGTGAAGCAGATGTCGTTTGGTGTTTGATCCGACTTTTTCATCCTATACACCGTCAGTTCATTGTTTGTCCTGTTCCAGTAACATTTCTGATTTTGTCCTTCCCCCTTTGGCTTTAGCATCCTATGGTTAAAGGTATTGCTCTTGATTGTGCATGGTGTTTGTGCATTATTCAGTCAGACACAGAATATCATCTAAAAAGCATGGATGCACCGGCCTTCCCATTGCATGTAGGCTGTTAGGTTGAGCTTTAAAAGCATCCAGTCAGTAGTTACTTTCTATTTACCGCGTGTTGCTGATACTGCTTCATTGTATTCAAAATGTTTTCAAATATTCCCACATAGCATTGGAATAAGTGTACCCATTTCCGAGGCCACAGTGTGCTTGTGTGTGGCTGGTTAACATGAAATACTTTTTAGTCACCATATCTCTGTATGCTGCATTCGTGTCCACTCGCCATAGTTTGAATAAACCTGTTTTCCGTGAAGAGCTCAACCACTCTCTCCCATATGGAGCTCAGTCTGTTGCTGTTGCACATAGCACTGTTTTTTTTTTTTTTTTTAATAAGGGGATGTTTGCAGACCTTAGGAAAACCCATTGCATGGACACACTCTGACTTTCTGTTTGTTCCATTTGAACACTGCTGGAAGTTTACCAACCTGTGTCTCCTGCTGGAGTATGACTGTCTCTAACTGGGTTCAAGGTGGTGGTTGGAGACAAGGTGGTGCTAATGCCAGTGAACGCAGGGCAGCCTCTTCATGCCAGTAACATCGAGCTGCTGGACAACCCTGGCTGCAAAGAGGTGGGACTAGTTCATTTAATGTTATTTCTATTAGTGCTGAATGTCTTACTGTTATCCAAGAAACTCCTCTAGCTTCTCTTCAAGCAGTTTATCTAATAGTTTTTAATGTATTTATATATTGTTCTAATACACAGAACAAAATGTGATCCTTTGGAACATGTGTATGATCATGTTGTGTTTTCCTCTCACACTCTCCTTCCTGCTGCAGGTCAATGCTGTTAACTGTAACACCAGCTGGAAGGTCGCCTTGTTCATGAAGTTTAGTGACTACAGGGAAGATGTTTTAAAAGGGGTATGCTGTTTTTATCACTTTTAGATCTGTTTCCTCAGTGTATGATTTTTAGCAGAGCTGCATGTAGTTTGCATGTATTTAGAGCAAACAGCATGCGGTTATCTTGCAGCGGCCTCATACTCTGTACCTGTCCTCTGTTAGGGAGATGTGGTGAGGCTGTTTCACGCTGAGCAGGAGAAGTTTCTGACCTGTGACGACTACAAGAAGCAGCAGCACATCTTTCTCAGGACCACACTGCGGCAGTCTGCCACCTCCGCCACCAGCTCCAAGGCTCTCTGGGAGATTGAGGTAAAAAAACAAAACAGGAATGAACAATATCGCTCTTTAACACCATCAGTGCCACATTATTAAAATCCTTTTAGAAACAACTATTTTTCTATCATATATCTTTTTGGCCTGAGTGGAGTTTATGGACTAAGTTAAACTGAAAATATAGCTGTGGTCCCTTTTACTTGACAGGCAGCCATACATCAACAAAATAAAGAGCTTGCTTAAGAGTCATAAAGTTTGCCCAGCTCAGTTTAAATAAACATAAATCAACAAATGATGTATTTTTAGGCACTTAAATGTATGGTTTTGTTAAAATTATGGACCATTTCACACAAATTTAGGCCATCATTTCTTCTTTCATGGAAACTATATGACTAAGATATTTCTTACTGTCTACTTTATTGCCACTTTAACCTTTAGTGTTTTTGTATTCCACTGTCTATTGTACTGTATGTTCCTCTTATCAGCTTTTTAAATGGAAGTTCCTGCTGCTTTTGGCAGAATGTACTTATGTTGCCATATCAGTTGCTGACATGTTGTTTTGTCAGAATGACAAACTAAAAATTCCTGTTGTACTTGGTGCTGAGGATGACTCTTATTCTGACTCATTCTGACCCTGTAGTGATAGGCTAATCTGACGTTGGTGTTTCAAGTACTGAAAATCCACGTGTCCCTGTTTCATTTAGTTTGTGAATTATTGTCACTTTAAATAACAGAAATCAGCCACCTGCTGTTAAACCAATCCGATCCTACATGGAGCTGCTATGTCTATTAAACAAAACCTAAAACTTAATTAACAGTGTTGTAATATCTATACAGACATACATTTAAATAATGTTTTAAAAGTCCCTCTGCACTATATTGGACCAGTTGGAGGCGAGCACAGACTGACATTGAGCCACATACTTGCAAGACACAGAAAACCTCATAACAAGTGGATGAAAACTGATGCCTCTAGGTGTATAAATATTTCCTTATGACGTGTCTCTGTCCCAGGTTGTGCACTACGACCCCTGTAGAGGCGGAGCCGGCCAGTGGAACAGTCTCTTCCGCTTCAAACACCTGGCGACTGGGAATTACCTCGCAGCTGAGGTGAGTTTGACTCTTAAACACTTTGTCTTGCTTCTGTCTTCATCCATTTCATTTTGCAGCTGCTTACGTTTGTGTTTAATTACATTTAGAATTTACATTTACAATTACATTTAGAAAGTAGCTTGCACTCACAGTCAGTTTCTGAATAAGCACAGTTAAATGGGATTTTTGGTCATGTGCTGTAGGTGGCAGTATTCTCATTGATATGGCCACTATCGCCCATCATTTGCTGTTGAATAGTTTGGATTTGGGTGATGTGGGGTGATGATGACAGGATTACCACCAGAACTTTTTAGATTGAGGTCACTGACCACTCAGTTTCTCTGCAGGTGAACCCTGAATTCAAAGACAACACGGTGGAGCCCAAAGGAGAGGTAAGTCAGTAAAACAAGCACATTTAGCTGCAAAGTCACATGTACCTAACCTCGGACTGGCTACTACAAACAGATTTTTGACCTTTTTTTATATACTAAGGGGATAGTTATAATTCAAGACATCAGCAATGCAAATACTTTTTTTCATTTAAACCACAGATGAGTCAGACTGCACTTGACTGAAATGCGTTGGTGAACAGGAGATACGATTGTATGAGTGTTTCATTAGAAAGAACAATTATCTCAGCAGTTATCTGTTGTCTGTCCAACTTCAGGCCTTTCTCCGTCTTCCCCTCCACTGGTATACCACCAGCAAATACACCCACAGAGTGCTTGTACACACATGCATGCACACACAAACTCTGAATCTATATCTAGACATTTCTTTCAGCTCTTAGCTACCTTGCACATTTGTATTCTGGCAATGCACAGGAACACGCACACAAACTGTCTCAGCCTCACACACTTTCTCATGCACATGCTGAATTTCAGACACACAGGGGGCTCCTTACATAACGTCTGGGTGTGGGGGTGCCCTGCGTGAGGGGATGGAGGGGAGGCAGACGTGCTGTCTGCTCTGCTCCACTCGCCTGTGCTAAGCTGGTG